GGCACCATCAGCTTCCTTCACCACATTTGCTTATGCATCTGCTTTTGTCTTCAGCAATTGTGTTTGGAAGGTGATATCACAGAACCTCTCAAGAACAGATTTGACACATTGAACACTAATGACAAGACCTGAAGAGCTGTGGGAGGACATAAGACCGTCACTCATGAAGAAAGCAAAAGGACATTAAAAAGATAGATTAGAAAGAAAAGATCAGCATGGGTGTCAGAAGACACTCTAAAATTTGCTCTTAATTGCAGATAGTTAAAGCAAATGGAAGAAAGGATGAAGTCAAGTAGCTGAACAGAACCAGTGGTGCTGACGGAAGAAATTCCAGGCTTCATTGAATGCATTAACCAAAAACAAGGTTCCGGGAATTAATGGATTACCCATTGAAATGTTTCAGCAAACTGAAGAAGCACTGGAAGCACTCATTCCTCAATGCCAGAATATTTGGACGACAGCTCCCTGGCCAATTGACTGGAAGAGCTCCATATTTGTGCCTGTCCCAAAGAAAGGTGGCCCAACAGAATGCTCAAACTATTGAATGATATCATTGAAAATGTACCAAAATAAAATTTTGCTTAAGATCATCCAACAACAATTGCAGCAGTACCTTGACAGGGAGCTTCCTATTCAGACTGGATTAAGAAGAGGACATGGAACAAGGGATATCATTGCTGATGTCAGATGGATCTTGGCTCAAAGCAGAGAATACCAGAAAGAGGTTTACTTTTGTTTCATAAACTTCAAAGACTGTGCAGACCATAACAAGCTGATGCTATCCTTGACAGGAATGGGAATCCCAGCGTACTTCACCATGTTCATTTGGAACATGTACATGAATCAAGAGGCAATGTGTGAGCAGAACAAGGGAATACTGCATGGCTTAAAACCAGGACAGGTGTGCATCAAGTTTGTATCCCTTCACCATACTTGTCCAATCTATATGCTGAGCAAATCATCAGAGAAGCTGGTTTATATGAAAAAAATGCAGCATTAGGATTGGAGGAAGGCTTATTAACAATATGCAGAATAGAGATGACACAACCTTGCTTGCTGAAAGTGAAGAAGAATTGAAGTCCTTGCTGATGAAGATCATGGGTTGTAGCTTTCAGTATGGATTACAATTCAGTATAAGGAAGGCCAAAATGTTCACAACTGGACCAATAGTTAACATAATGATAAATGGATCATGCTCATGGAAATGCTAGTCAAGAGATCAAAAGATGTATTTTCTTTTTTTTTTTTTGTTCTTTTACTGTACTTTTTATTTTTTTTTTATTATTATTTTTAATCATTTTATTAGGGGCTCATACAACTCT